CTCTCTCTCTCTCTCTCTCTCTCTTTCTTTCTTTCTCTCCTTCTTTCTTGTGTTGGGGTCTGGCTATGTTGCTATAGGATTCCTGTGTACCATCAGGGTACAAGCTGGCCCGGGAGTTTTAAAACAGAGATGTAAACCATGTCCTGCTCTGAGCTATGTGTTTTGCATAGAATCAAAAATTGGAATAAAAATGCTCAGGTGGGGTCTGGAGATGGGATATAGCTCAGGGGTGCAGCATACGCCTGGCAGCAGGAGGCTCTGGGCACAGTCACCAGCACCCCAGACGATTGTTAAAAATGCTAAGCTGCGATGACTCAGCACCCAGGTCAGAGCTGGTGTCTGTGTGTGCCATTGTTTTTGTTCTCTTACTAAAATTTATTTTTATTTTATGGATATGAGGTGTTTTGCCTACGGCTATGTCCACATACCACTTGCACGCCGGCTGCCCTTGAAGGCTGGGAGGTGGTGTCTGAATCCCTGGAACTAGAGTTCCAGTAGGTTGTGTGGTACCACGTGAACACTGGAAATTGAACCTGTCTTCTCTAAAAGAGCAGCCAGTGCTCTTAACTGCGGAGACATCTCTCCAGGCCTCTTTCTTTTCTTCTTCTTTTTTTTTTCTCTCTTTTTTTCATTTTGAGACAGATCCTACTATGTATCCCTCACTGGTCTGGAACTTGAAGACCAGGCTAGCCTCAGACTCTCAGAGATCCATTTGCCTTTACATCCCAAGTGCTGGGATTAAAGGTGTGCATCACCATGGCTGGCTTTGGTGTTTGTGTGTTTGTTTGTTTGTTTATATTGTGGAAGAAGATCTTATTCTGTACCTCAGGATAACCCTGAATTCACCGTGTAGTCCATGCTGGCCTTGAACTAGCGGTAGTTCTGCCTCAGTGTCCCTCCCCCCACCCTCCGCTGAGCTCTCCATCTCAGACCCTCTCACACACCTTCCTCTATGCCCAGTACCGCTGTAAGTCACAGGGTCATAAGTGACTTACTCACGACAAGTGACCTTCTGGGAGTCCTGGGCACACCAGACTGAGGAATGGTATAACTGCCTCATCGAAGACACCTAAAGAGAACAACAGGCTGAAAGAAAGTGTCACACGGACACACAACTTCTCACTTTGTGTCTCACCCTCTGAGGGGCAACTCACAGCCTCTGCCCAAGAGATTGCCAGGTGACCAACTCTGTCCGTGACTAAGCTCAGCCTGTCACCTGTCCCCCTGACAACCAACAACCATTCATTACTCCAGTATCATGCCCGTGTGTGTGTGTGTGTGTGTGTGTGTGTGTGTGTGTGAGAGAGAGAGAGAGAGAGAGAGGGAGGGAGAGAGAAAGAGAGAGAGAGAGAGAGAGAGAGAGAGAGAGAGAGACTCTGCCTTTCTGTCTTTCTTTGCTGACTCAATAGCTGATTGCCAGCAATAATCTTATCCTCGGTACATTGCCCTGCTTTATTGGCAATGTGCTGTGACTCCTGATTCGTGCGTACTCTCTCTTCAATGCCCTCTGTGACCTGTGTGTTATATGAAGTATGTTGTGTAACTTGAGTCCAAAAAAAAAAAAAGTCTTATTTGCATGCTTTTTAAGTATATGTATATACACATGGATGAAGGTGTCCCTAGAGGCCGCAGGCACTGGGTTCCCTGGAGCTTGAGTTGTAGACAATGGTGAGCTGCCTGATACGGGTCCTCTGCAAGAGCAGCAAGTGCCCTGAACCACTGAGTCATCTCCTCACACCCTAACTTGAGTCTTTTTGGGTTTGTTTCTTGAGACAGGGTGTCTCTGTATAGCCCTGGCTGTCCTGGAACTTGATTTGTAGACCAGGCTGACCCTCGAACTCAGATCTGCTCGCCTCTGCCTCCTAAGTGCTGGGATTGAAGGCGTGCACCGCCACCGCCCCGCATAATTTGAGTCTTACAGAGAGCAATAGGCCGGCATGGATTGAGGCGGTGGCTCAGAGGGTGTGGTGTTTGCTATGCAAGCTGAGGTTGGATCCACAGAGGCCACATAGAAAGCTAAAAAGCTAAAATGTTGGGCCCATGAGATGGCTCAGTGGGTACAGGCACTTGTGGCCAATAGCAATGACTTCAATCCCCTGGGACCTATATGGAAGAAGGAGTGAAGAGAGAACGAACTCTCAAAAGTTGTCTCTGGGCTGGGCGGTGGTGGCACATGCCTTTAATCCCAGCACTTGGGAGGCAGAGGCAGGCAGATTTCTGAGTTCGAGGCCAGCCTGGTCTACAGAGTGAGTTCCAGGACAGCCAGGGCTATACAGAGAAACCCTGTCTCAAAAAACCAAAAACAACAAAAAAAGAAACAAACAAACAAACAAACAAACAAAACAAAACAAAGTTGTCTCTGCCAAGCACACACACAAATAAATCAATGGGACTAAAATGCAAGCTGAAAGCACACACCTGTAACCCCAGCACTCAAGCTGGGACCAGATGTGAGACAGAGACAGGAGAATTATCCAGAAGCAGAAGCTTGCTGGGCAGTGGTGGTGCACGCCTTTAATCCCAGCACTTGGGAGGCAGAGGCAAGTGGATTTCTGAGTTCGAGGCCAGCCTGGTCTACAGAGTGAGTTCCAGGTCAGCCAGGGCTACACAGAGAAACCCTGTCTCGAAAAACCAAACCAAACCAAACCAAACCAACCAACCAACCAAACAAACAAACAAAAAACCAGAAGCAGAAGCTTGGGGACCAGCTAGCCTGAACCATGTAGAGAAGCAGAAGAAATGACAAGATTCTGTTTCGAAACAAAACAGAGGGCAAGGTCTGACCCCTACAAGTTGTCCTGTAACACCCACTTGAGTGCTGTGGCGTGTGTGTGTGTGTCCAAGCTAGTTCAAAAGCCAGAGTGTGATGAAGTGACACTGGGTGTGGTCTAGACTCCAGGTGTGCCACCAGCAGTAGTCAGTGACACTGGTGCTGCTTGTGAATCTGCTGATAGTGTCCTTCTGACAATGTGGGAGTATGCAGACACATTGGTCCATGTCAACAGCACAACAGCTCATGATGAGCCTAAACTGGGTCTACCCTAAGCTGTCATCTTCCAGGCTCCAAACCTCCTCCCTACACAGAGAACCCCAGAGGCTCTGCCCAGATGGGTATCCTACCCATTATGGGCTCAGGATGTGTGGGTGAGTATGTGAAGCTCTGTGCAGGATGAAGGTATCTCTTGCTTCCTTCCTCTAACCTGTATGGGATATTTAGCATGAATGTTGTCCTTGGCCTATCTTTCTCTTGGCCTCAGAGGTGGGAGAACCTTAGATGGTTACTGTCTTGGGAGACTGGTTCTGGCCTCTCTCAGTTCAGTTCTTACAGCCAATAGAAAAGCCACGGGTGTTTCTGGATCCCATCTGCCTCATGGTCAGGTTTCTAGACCTTTCCCGACGGCCAGCCCCTCCTCCTCAAATCACCCAGCTTTCAAGCCCTCTGCTCTTTCCCTAGCGTATGAGCCTTCCTCATACCCTTCCTTTCTCCACGGTTCCCTCTCCTTACTGACTTGTTCCTGTTCCTTCTTGCTCTTCTTTGACCAGGCTTCTAGGTAGAGAAGTCAGTTTCAGTGTCCTTCTCCTGCCTGATGGCCTTATTGGGGGACTTTGTACAGGTGCCTATGACCTTTATTCTGTTCTCCGTCTTCCTCAGATCTGTCAGATCTGTAAGAGATATGGATTATCTCTTAACCGACAAAGCCATCTCTCCACCAATTCTGACCAGTTTTCCAAGATTTACTCCAGCCAACACCATTAGGGGGCACTTTGAACACTACCCTAGGCTAGCCCTTCTTCTCAGTTATACTCTCTAAGAGCAGTCTTGGGCTGGCTAGATGGCTCAGTAGGACAAAGTGTTTGCTGCAAAAACCTGATCATGTGAGCTCGATCCCCAGAGAAGGAAGAACTGACTCCTGAAAATTGTCTGACTATCACCCTCCTGCCATGGACACACACATGTACTCTCCCCGAATAACGA